ACTATAAAAGAAATTATAAATATCATCAAATTTTATACTCAAAATTTTTGGGGTCATGTTATCATCTCCTAAAAAGATTATAACTAATGTAAACATTTAATAATCTTAAATTAATAATTTTAAATCATTCGGACCTAAATTGATTTTTTTTTTTAGTCCCGAATTAATAGTCAACTCATGTTGAGACTTAGATTGATAGAAACTAAAGTTGATGGTTAAATCTTCTTATCTATCAACAAATCTATATTTTCAGAATTCATAGTTCATAGTTACCTTATTTTTCTGAATTAATGAAATTTCTGAAAAAAAATACAAACTAAAAATCCCATTGACCATTTGACCTGTCAACCCCCACATTTTCGACCTCACAGAAAACAGAATTCCATTTCTCTCTGTACTTATATTATACCACTCGCATTTCATGCTTAGAAATCTCACACCACAACAAAAGCTCAACAAAATTAAATATAAACTAAATAATATTATTAAATAAAGCCACAAATTAGAATCGGGAGAAATATCATGCTCAAACTTCTCAACAGCAAGCTCCGGCGACTCTGCTTGAAACTCCGGTGGCCGGCCACTCGCCGCCGCCGACGGCCGCGACCGAAGGTCGCCGTGAAGAATCTCGGGAAATCCAGCTCGAGATCTCGCGCCGCCGATCAGAACGACCCCGCCGCCGCCTCCTCCGCCGTGATTCACCCCAGCACCACCGCCGCCGCGGACCCCAGCGCCCCGAGGACCATCCGTTTCGCCACGTTCAACGCCGCGTCCTTCTCCATGGCGCCGGCGGTCCCTCACACTGGCAAATCGTCGAACACTTCGCGCGCGGAGCTCGACCGTGGCCATCGTGGCTCCAAATCCACCAGCGACGGCCCCAAAAGCATCCTCAAGCATTCGCCGCGGCACCCGGCCGCGAACCCCCATCAAACCCTCACCAGGCAGCAGAAATTCGCGAGATCGAGGTTGAGGGTTTCGATAAACTTACCGGACAACGAGATTTCTTTGAGGAGAAGCGGGCAGCTGAGCTTCGAGATTCCCGGGGGGAAGACGCCGGAGAGGTCGAGCAGCGCTCGTTTCGTCGGCACGGCGAGCCTCGGCGGCGGGGATTGGGGGAGCAATCGGACGGTTTTGGAGGTATTGAGGGAGGTGGACGCGGACGTGGTGGCGCTGCAGGACGTGAGGGCGGAGGAGGAGAAGGACATGACGCCGCTGTCGGAGCTCGCCGGAGCTTTGGGGATGAGGTACGCGTTCGCCGAGAGCTGGGCGCCGGAGTACGGCAACGCGATTCTGTCAAAGTGGCCGATTAAAAGGTGGAAAGCTCAGAGGATATTTGATGACTCTGATTTCAGGTTATTTATTATTTTTTATTCTTAAATTTCCAGTAAGAAGTTGTTTTTGTTGCTTTTTTTTTTTCGCTTTGATTATAATAAATTGGTGGGAAGAAATTAATTGAAAATTTATCTATAATTATTTGAAAATTTTAATGAGCGAAATTGAAAAGTAATATGAGAATTTAATTTGAAGTTTTTATTTATTTTATTTTATTTTTTGTGAAATAATGGTGATATTTGGTATTATAACCGGATAAATTGTATTATAAATTATGTTTGATTCCATTAGATAAATAATAGTACGAGTCTAGGACGATTTTATTATTATACACAAGATTCAATCAATTAAACCAAATAAAGTATATAAACTGAAATACGAAAATGGATCATAATTAATCTTATTTACGAACAAGAACATT